TGATGCACCTGCAAAAAGCTGATCTTCTTTTCCAAAAAGTTTTTCCTCCCAAGTTTTATGAGGAAATCTATAGGATGCACTTTACTTTTTTTAGGCAATCCAAAGATCTCCTGTAATGGAGATGTGGAGCAGAAAGCAGTTACCATCTTGGAGAGAGGCCGAATGGACTGAGGTACTGTGTAGCATAAGGGCCTGGAAACATGGGCCTTCACTGTATGATTGGAGAGAATTTAGGCCAATCTGGAGATAGTCAGATGAATATTTTATTATTGACATGATGCCCACGTCAGTAAAGAAATTTTCAGAACGAACATTCAAGTAGCAAGGTGATAATAGGCCTGAGCTCAAGAGATTGGTGTTTAACCAACAAAGAGTAGAATAACCAACAGACTGCAGAAATGCACGAAAGACATATTCAGAAAAAGACATCTGACTGTCTTCCACTGATTCACTAGCAAGATGAAACATCAGAAAAGGTTGTGGTACAGCTGGTAATGGCCACTTGCATTTAAGATATGCACAGAAGGCTACTTCAGCATGGTTCTATCTGTTGATTACCATTTTCATCTACAACAGATAACACTTATAACTGGTTGGAACACAGTTCAAACCAAGTTTTAATATTTCATCAAGCTGCTGAGACATCTATGTGTACTCCATGCCAATATGCAGGTTTCTTTGCTAGGTTTCACAAATAATAGCATATAAATAGTTTTCAAAACGTAGGCTGGAGTTTTTGTATGTTAAGAAGGAAAAAATACCCAAATGTTATTTTCAGTTTCTGATGTGCTCAACTTAAGCAAGCCATGATGAAAGCAAGCAATTATAAAGAATGATAGGTGGCATGTGGTGGTTTTCACTGATATAGCATTATCCACACACTAAAAGCTGGAAATAAACCATGCTTGATAATGTACATATAACTTGAGAACAACACAAGTATCTGAGCTCTACTGAGAGTTCTGTTGCTCATCTGTAATTTCAGGCAGAAGATGGCCTTCTCTGTCAACCATGGGTCAACATAACTCTCAAGTAGGCACACGTTCCTGAAGCGTTTCTTCTTGATAATGAACATTTCATTTCAAGCCCCAGGTAATATCAGATACAGAAAAAAGCCCACATATGTATGTATTTGGTTCCTGGATCCATGTGGATGCTTTTAACCCCACTCTACTCCTCGCTGAACTTCACTTTCCACCCCTCTGTACTCATGCCTAAACATAAAGGTATTTACATGTCTGAAAGGAACTGGAAAGCAACTGTGATATTTCCCAGAGCATTTTAAAGCTCTTCTCACACAAAAGCAACACATCATTATGTCACAGTAGCACTTCAATAAGGGGCACCTCAGGAAGGGCCTCTGACGGTTATGATTAGCAGATTCATCACTTTCACTACCTCACTTGTAAAAGAAAGTCTGGAACAGAAATCTTTTCAGTTAGTATTATCCTTCCCTGGAATCAGTTATGTATGTAGGCCTTACAGAATGTGCCATCAATAAGATGGTCTTTGGATAAATGTACTTTTATACACTGCTGGAAGTACCCAAAACTGATGGGTCTTTGAAATCGTGTGTGTGTTTCTGTTGTTCCTTGGCAGGTTCTAAATCCACAAATTCATGAGTGGCTTATTGTGATTCATATGCCACTTTCATTTTTGGCAGGTAATGCTAATGGTATTGGAGAATGACTGTTTGAATGAGATCTGCACCCACTTCTCTCAAATCAGGACTCTAAAAATGCTCAGAAAGGAGCTGTCAGCATAAATAAAAAAAATAATTAAAAAATAATGTGAACACTTATTCTCTATAGGGTTTCAACTGCACAATTCCAGGCATCAGGGATGAGCAGGATGAACAGGACTTTCTATAGTTCCTGTAGAAGGCTGGGCAAGCAAACATCTAGGGGGGGAAATTGAGGAAGAGTAAATATCTACATGTCAGTAATAGGAAAGTTGCATTGTACACCTGGTTTTTAGGCATGCCATCTGTGCTCAGTCATACCAAATAGCTTTGATGACATGCCACAGCTAAAGGGCAGGCAATATATGTCTTGCTTCAAGTGACATGAATGACACAACTTGGTAAAACTCACTGCTTAATGATAGAAATCATAACTCTCAAACATGGTATATGGTTGTCCCATATGTTTTTCAGTGTTTAGACTCATACGAGATATTTTGATACTGGAAGCACTGAAGGAGCTTTATGGTGAAAACCAGTGCACACTAGGTAAGCAAGAGTGCCTTATCTGTACTAATCCTGGACTCCCCATCATAGTTTGTTGGTTTGTAACAATACCATAACATTCAGCTAATATTGTTTACAGTAGCCTAATAACAAGCAATTCTATTCCCATTACTGCTCACAGTCTGGTATTAAATATTTGTTTCCAAAGTAAACTGCCTGATGTAGTTGAAAAGTATTACCACACTTTTTTTAAGCTGAATAAACCTTATCTTTTTTTAAAAAATGTGACCTTAAAAAAAGCGTGTGTATTTTGACTAGTATACAAAGTTGATAAAAAATAAGGTTTATGTTATATTTCTATTTTAAGGAAGGATTTTCCATAGTGCACTAGAGGATCTTAAAGAGGGAGCTTGGTCTAAACTCTCTTCCAGTTCTGGATCTGGTCTTAAATCCATGTGTAGCCTCAGGCAAATGTGTTAATTTTCCTGTTTCAGTTTCCCTGCCTTTAAAGTGGGGATAACGTGACTAACCCAAATAGCTTAGCTGCAATTTGTAGCAATGAGTAACTTGATTATTAGATTTCTGAAACATGAAACATGATTGTTATTAGGGCTTACTGACCAGGCAGTCAGAAATGTGAGACAAATAAAGGAGAAGGGTCTTTGACAATAGAAGGATATAGGTTAGTCAGTCAGTCAGAGTAGCTTTGCAAGGAGGCAGCTCCAGGGAGTGGAGAGTTGGACCTATAAAAGAGAGAATGTTCCCTTTGTACTGATCTCCTATTTATTACCCCATGGTATCAAAAGACCATAAAAAGCTAAGTCCTCTCTGAGAAATGAATAGGTCCAAAGCACTACAACAAATCAGCTGCAGGCAAATAAATTTTTATCTGTGTAAGTGAGCTCAATGTTATTTTCTAGTGGAAATGTCAGAATTGATTAAAGACCTAGCATTTCTATTTAAAATGAGAGAGTAGGGGATGATATGTTTTAAACAGAGAAAAAGTCAGAGGACTGATAACATGGAGATAAAGGGGTGAATTAATTTCTGGTGTTGTTGCAGTAATTTTGTATTCAACATATTGAGTCCAAATTTGCACCACTGTACCTAGTATAAATAGTAGTGCCTTTTAATAACTGTGACAAAAATACTCTCCCCACTGGCAAGGTCAATATTATTAATTGCTATTCCTATTATTAACCTTTGGGCTTGTGTATCCTCCATGGATTAATGATTATTCAATAACTGAGCTACAAGGTTAACTTACTAATAGCAATTAATAGAAGGACATACTGCTGGCTAACTGGGAAAAGCAATGACAAATCAACTTCTTGGCCTTGGTCTTGTTTCATGCAAAGGTACCTACGGGAATTGTACCTGTCAGTTCCCAGAGCTGAAAGAGAAAATCTGCCTCAAAGTCAAGACAAAAACCAGGGATTGGGCTGACATCCGGGGTCCCCTCTCTCGTCAGTCTCCTAGGGAATAAGAAACTGCCTCAGCTTTCAGGAAAATCTGCATTCGTTGCCAGGGTCATTCTCCAGGAACTCCACTTCCAAATCCTGCATCAGTGAAGAGGGGAAAGAAGGTCTTAAAAACAAAACAAAACAAAACAAAACAAAGACAAAAAAATACAGAAAAGTACTTCCCCTAGGAGAAGTTTCATTAATAAAGGCAATTCTCAAACAGCGTTACGGAGGAGCACGTGGCGCCAGGTGAAACACCAGGCAGGAGGACCACAGTGATGCGGGACTCGGCCCCGCTCCCGGCCGGACGGGGCAGCGGAACTGCCGGCAGGGAGAGGCCTCGGGGGATGCCTGCCCTCGCCCGGGCATCCCCAACCCGCGGAGACCGCCAGCGCGGTAGCGGAGCTTCTTTCTCTCCCTCAAATCGCGGGTGGCCGTGGAGCGCTGCCTGCCCGAAAGGGGCTGCCGCCGGCGCTCTGGAAGTAGCGGCGGGGGGCGGCCAGAGGGCGCGGGGACAGCTGTGGAAATAAAGGAGCGGGGAAATGATGGAGAGAAGGGGAAAGAGGGGGGCGGGGGCGCGGTGCCGGGGAAGGCAATGCGGGGACGGTGGAGGGTTTCGACCCGAGTTCCGGGGGGAAGAGGGGCACGGCAGGCATGGACACAGGCGCACCACCATGCCCCGGCACTTCCACCAAGTCAGCCCCGCCGCCCCGCGGGGCCGGGAGCCGCCGGAGGGAAGGAGCCGCCGCGCACACACACACACAGACACACACAGACACACAGACACACGCCACCGCTGCGCTCCAGCCGCCGCTCGCTGCTCCCCCCCTCCCACCGCCGCCGCGCAGGCAGGAGGCAGCGGGCGCGAAGCAGAGCGGGCGGCGCAGGGCTCGCAGACCCCCGCCCCAGTCGGACGGGCCTCCAGCGGCCGCGCTGCCCCGACGGGACCGCCGCCCCCTCCCCGGGGGCAGCGCGCACCTCCCCGCCCGGAGGGGCCGTGCGAGGCAGCGGGCGGGGGGAGCGCGGGCACACACACACACACACACACACACACACACACACACACATACACGCACTCACACACATATACACACACACGCGCAGGCACACCCGCACAGACACACGCAGGCAGAGGCAGGGCTGCCCCACGCCGGTACCTTGCTGCCCTGGTGTTTTCCGTCCGGGCTCCTCCTTGCTGAGGCAGCTCGGGAGCGGAGCCGAGCGGGCGGGTGCGTGTGCGTGTGTGTGTGTGCGTGCGTGCATGCGTGTGCCTCTGTGTGTGTCTGTGTGTGTGTGTGTATGTGTGCGAGAGCGAGCGAGCGAGAGAGACTCTCCCCCCTCCCCCTCCTCCTCCTCGCTCTCCTTCCTTTAAACGCCCACTCCTGATGGGTGAAAAGACAACTTGAACTTCAGTGCAATTAACTTCGCCGGCGCCTCGGAAGCCGGAGGTGTCGCCGGCCTCGCCCGCCGCGCTCCCATGAGTGAGTCGGTCCCGCTCCTTCGGCGTCTCTCCTCGGGGACCTGGGGGACGGGGGGGACAGAGCCGTGCCGGGGGCACCCGCCGCGGCGATTTACCCGGCTGTGCCGGCCCGGGAGGGCGGGCGGGAGGGAGGCGCGGGGCGGGTGGCTGCGCTCGGCGCTGCCGCTGCCGGAGCTTCCCGGCCGGCACGGGCTCACACCTGCCGCCGCGCCGCCGCCGGTCGCCGGCCCCGCTCCGCTCCCCTGCCCGCTGCCGCCGGCACGGGGTGAGCGGGGGGAGGTGTGGGTGGGGGCAGAGGGACAAAACCCCAGAAGTTTGGCAAAGTTCTTACCCAGCGCCGCGCGCCTCCCGGCAGCGGCGGGCGCGGGGCGGCGGCGCCCCCGACGGCGC